TGCTGCCCTCCTGTCTGGTGCTCCACTGACGGAAAGAACGCCCCACTCCAAGCCTAGCTCACTACTGTCACCCTCGGAAAAGGCCAGCTCCATACCTTAAAGCCAAAGTAGTTATAGGAGAAATCCCGATCGTAAATGATGGCAGAGTTCAGTCGCTGAGGAAATAAACGGTGAGTTAAACTCAGCTTTCAGCAGACGTAACGCAGCTACCCTGTGACGGGCTTTATAAAAAATAACAAGCCGTCCTGTGGATTCTCCGTATTTTGGGACTCAGCTTGACTCCAAGTGAGAAACAAGGGTCTCCTAGGGTCAGGGCACTCCCACCTCCGGTCTACTGAAAACTACCATAGTTTGGGGGGGGTTTGTTTGTTTGTTTGTTTTTGTCCAGATGCCCCTCTAAGCATGAGAGGCAGGAATCCTCTGGATCCCTGGGAGCAGCCACCATGAAACTGCTGTGAAAACTGCTGGACAGATACGATTCTGTGACCAGTGTTTCCTGTGCATTCCTGATGGGTCGCGATTCCCCACCTCTGTTCCCTCTGCATGTATGTTTTCTACTTGCAAAGTCAGATACGCGCCCCCTTCTCAGTGTCCCCCCAAACACCAAGCTAATGCCTGAGCTGGCCCCTTTCTTGCAGAGTTTGTGCTGGCCCAGCCCAAGAACGGCTTGTTGGGAGTTCCACCCAGCAAGGAAAGAAAAGATCAGCCTACGTCTTTGTTGGCTAGTACGATGTCCAGAGTCTCTTTGGAAATCATCGGGGAGTGCTTGCTGTTATGCGGGTTCACGTAATTGTACAGGTCTTCCATCACATCTAGAAAGAAAGCGGCAAAGACTTAGCCGGGAATCGAGATGGACTGCCAGCGATCAAATGATCAGTGGCTCTAGGAACGCAGATGTCAACACACCCTGCCCTCAAGAAAGAGGTTCGGTTGCAACTCCAAGCCAACAGCAGTCACATTAACTCGTCTCTTTAAAAAGCAGGATAAATATAGAGTGATCTCCTCCTGAACGAACCTCCCCCTGAGATCTCTCCTCCAATATGCATCCCCCCCCACCGGTGACCCCTTTCTGTCCAAAGTGCAGCAGGTGGGCACAAGGGAGGGACGGCCTTCTCCGCTCAACTTACTAGAGAACTCCACAGCAATAAAGGCGGTTGTCCTTTTGACGTGGCCTCTACCTAGATCACTCTTAATCTGTTAGGGCTGACTATTCTCTTGGCTCACAGCTTCTTTTGCTGTGCGCTGGCTTTCTTTCTGGGCCACTTTCCTCGTGCAAGCAGCAGAAAAGTGGGGCAGAAAATTTGGTGAGAAGTAATAAAGTGGGAGCTCTTTTTTTTGCTTTGTATTTGAAATGGAAGAGGCTTTCCTGAAAAGGACAAAAAGCTGATCCCACAGCTATAAATACTCAACTACCCCACAAAACTGCACCAGAGCACAGACAGAGTTTTAACTCCTGTCCTTGGACGATGCCGGCCACAGAGACTGGCGAAACGTTAGGAAGAACAACCTCCAGAACATGGCCAAAGAGCCCGGAAAACCTACAACCATCATTGGAAGAGAGTCTCTTGTAGCAAAAAGACACTTCGCATTCATCGCACAGAGGCTTAAACAGACAAATTTCCCAGCAGGTAGGAACCCTGGATGCAAAATACAGCTACAGGGAAGAACGCCTGAGCGCACATCCTCTGGGGCCCGTTGAAAATATTTCCTCACCCCTCCCGGCTCCATGACGAGCTGTGTGACAAGATTCACCCAACGGGTTTCCGTGCACTATGACCACACCCCGGTACTCACCACTGAATACTTTCTTGGTTTCCTTGTGCAAGTTGGAGACTGCAATTCTGGCTGCCAGGATGGCATAGTCTGGGTACTTGGTGGTCAGCGTCGCTGCGGTCTCGGCTGCCAGAGTGTCCAGCTCTACTGTAGTGACGCCGCTGTAAAGACCCTGGATCACTTTCATGGTGATCTGAGCCTAGGAAAACAGGAGGTGATCACATGAGCTCTCCTGGTGTAAAAGGACCGACGCCTAGACCAGTGGCCTCTTGCGTAGTTACAGCAGAGGAAAGAGATCGCCAGAGGATTGCCGCTAATGAAAGAGTCCCCGCTTCGATTCTGGTTTGCAAATGAAATCAAAGCGGGGACTCTTTAACGAGTGGCAATCGGATGCCGCCAGTATGGCTACACCGGAGGATTTTGGCCACAGTGAGAGGCTTCTGTCCTTAACCTAGAAGTTTTACAAAATGACTGCTCGGGCGACGCGGATGCAAACTACCTCGCCAAAATGGTCCACGCTGCATTTCCGAGAGTCCCAGGGCTCTCCCTTGTACTACCTTCCTTCTGTAAAAGGCTTCGGACCTTTCACAAGGGATGCTTAGCCTAAAAAGGCTTCGGCTGGGAGAAGAAGCCCAGGCAGGGGGGAACCTACCGGGTCGACGAACTCCAGATTGAGGCCGTAGCAGAGCTTCTGGATCCGGGAGGTGATCTTGTCGAACATGACGCGCTCGTGGCGACCGTCTGCCGGGGGGAGAGAGAGAGAGAACATACCTGTCCCTCCGTGTGTGGGGTGAGGGTCCTTCGCGGCCAGCAGAGACACTTGGGGGGGGCGACTGGCCTCGGGGCAGGCTGTGGGTCGGGCTGGTGACCCGAAGGACCCGTCCGGCCTCCCACAGCCCTTATGGGCGCCCCAGCCATCTTTCCGTAAGGGCGGAGGTGGAGGAAGCATCCACCCCAGGGCTCTCCCAGGAGCGAACTGGCCCCCCCTCAGCTATTCACGGGGGGGGGGGGACAAGGGGGGGAGAGACGCCGTTCTGAGTTCAGAGGAGGTCTTTTTTTGGGGAAACTGGGGGTGCCAGAATCCTTCTCTTGCCCCCCCCAACCCTGGAGTAAGCAGTGCCAGCTATAATTAATGCCCCCATTCCCTCTCCCCCAATACGATGGCTTTCTAGGGGGTCTCCCTTGCCACTCTATCTCTGCATAACTCCTAGGAATTTTAAAACAAACCCAATTTTAGTCCTTGGGTCTTTCTTCACTATCCACAACCACTCCTCTATCTCTTTTTCCTCAGGTTTCTCCACTCTTGCCATATAACTATCTCCTTCCGCTATTTCTGGTGTCTCCCCCTTTCTCTCCACCTCCATCCCTTTTAATCCCTTCACTTACTTGTTCTAACTCCACCCCCTTGTACATTTTCCTTTTCCTCAGTTTTGTATCTTTCTCGGGTTTTTGTCATACTGTGTTGGAGAACCTTTTCTGTCTTTGGATGGGGTTGAGCTGGTTTCTACATCCCGGGAAGGAGAAGGGACAGCACACTGAGGGGGAGCTGAGCCTCCCTGTCCTCTCCTTCACATAACTACTATTCAGATTTCCCATGCAAAATTAATTTTCCACCTAGACTTCCTCTTCAATGAAATAATCACAAAACATGTGTTTCGTATGACAGCCCCTTAATGCCCAGATATAAACCTAATACATTCCTTTCCAATAATCCCTTTCCAATTAATCAAAATTAATTTCTCACCAAATTAGTACTATGTCTATGAATTTATTCTTTTTAAAAACATCCATTTTCTTCTCATGTTTCCATTCAATTTACTCTCCCTGCCTCAATTTGTTTTTTTTTTCTTACTTTAAAGTAATTTTTCATTCTGCTGTTCCTTATACAGTTTTGTCTCCCCTTCTACCAGAAACACTTTGATGCCATGCATTGACACTTGAGTCTCTGGCTTAAGGGGAGGTAGAACAAAGATGCTGAAACTTTTAAAAGACAGACAGGCAGACAAGCTGGCCAACTGGCAACAGCCTCCTAGCCAAGCAGGGTTAGCTCCAGGACATATCTCTCCTTGTTTCATCTACATTGCCCTAAAGCAGCAGTCCCCAACCTTTTTAGCCCCGCAAACTGGCTGGGGAAGGCGGGGCACCCCCTGAGGACAGAAGGACACACACACACACACACTCTCTTGTTATAACGGCCAACTAATGTATCGGCAAAATAAAGTTGGGAAAGCGGCAAACAGATCCATCCGGAAGGCTTGGTACAAAGAAACGTGGAGTTTGGCACATCCGTGATAAGTGAACGTGTGAAATGAAACCAAGAAGGGGGACGGGAAAGTCCGGTGATTGTAAAGATGTGTGGAATTTATATCTGAAATAGGCCTTCGGGAAAGGGAAAGGTCATAAGCCGGCAGAAGAATCCGTGTGTTTTTGGGACGGAGCGGGGTGAAAAGGGGATTAAAATGACATTTCTGGTTACCTAGACTGGACCATAAAGAAAGCTGCCTGCTTAGGGGAAAGGTTAACATGTATTGGGTAAGATCATGCCCTTTATGTGAGTTTTGTTACTGTTGTTTTCCGCACCTCTTTTTTTAAAAAAACCTATGTCTTCTTCTTTGAGAGAAACCAAAGGAAAGAATATACTTTTATTGTTAAGAGACGGAGGGGGCCCGGCCCTCTGTCTATCCCTGGAGGATCCCGTTGACCTCAGCTCCTGTTTTCATCCTTTCCTGAGCGGTGGCGGTGCAGAAAGTGGCCTGATGGGGAGAAGGGAAGAGCAGGGCCGTGGGTGGGAAGGGGGACCCGGAGAAACCCAGCCTGTCCCCTCCGGAGAAGGAGGAGGAGGAGGTGCCCGCAGTCCCTCCTGCGTGGAGGTCCCAGGGACTGGAATTGTGCCTCCAGGTCTTGCAGAAGCGGAAGAAAAAGGGATTCTGCATCTGGAGAGGATGACATACCCCCCCACCCCCACCGCTGGGCAGCAGGTCGCCCCTCACGGGCACTCCGACCCTGGCCAAGGGGAAGCCACGGGCAGCACGCGTGGACACCCTGGACACCCACAGGGGGACGGAGGGTCCACCTTGGAGCTGCAGTGCTTGAAGGGTCCCTCCCCCCCCAAGGATCATGGAGTCCAACCCCCCTCAAGGAGGCCCAGGGTAGGGGAGTGGAACTCTTGGCCTCAAACCTGTCCCCTAGTCCTCCTCAGCATTGCTGAGGAGACTGAAATTGAACAATTCTATGAAGATTTACAACACCTTCTGGAACTGACACCAAAGAAAGATGTTCTTCTCATTCTAGGGGACTGGAATGCTAAAGTAGGGAGCCAAGAGATAAAAGGAACAACAGGGAAGTTTGGCCTTGGAGTTCAGAACGAAGCAGGACAAAGGCTAATAGAGTTTTGTCAAGAGAATAAGCTGGTCATCACAAACACTCTTTTCCAACAACACAAGAGGCGACTCTATACATGGAAATCACCAGATGGGCAATATCGAAATCAGATTGACTATATTCTCTGCAGCCAAAGATGGAGAAGCTATATACAGTCAGCAAAAACAAGACCTGGAGCTGACTGCAGTTCTGATCATCAGCTTCTCATAGCAAAATTAAAGCTTAGACTGAAGAGAGTAGGAAAAACCACTGGGCCACTCAGGTATAATCTAAACCAAATCCCTTATGAATACACAGTGGAAGTAAAGAACAGATTTAAGGAACTAGATTTGGTGGACAGAGTGCCTGAAGAACTTTGGATAGAGGCTCGTAACATTGTCCAGGAGGCAGCAACAAAAACCATCCCAAAGAAAAGGAAATGCAAGAAAGCAAAGTGGCTGTCCAACGAGGCCTTAGAAATAGCAGAGAGGAGAAGGGAAACAAAATGCAAGGGAGATAGGGAAAGTTACAGAAACTTGAATGCAGACTTCCAAAGAATAGCAAGGAGAGACAAGAGGGCCTTCTTAAATGAACAATGCAAAGAAATAGAGGAAGATAACAGAAAAGGAAAGACCAGAGAGCTGTTCAGGAAAATTGGAGATATTAGAGGAACATTTTGCGCAAAGATGAACATGATAAAAGACAAAAATGGGAAGGACCTAACAGAAGCAGAAGACGTCAAGAAGAGGTGGCAAGAATACACAGAGGAATTATATCAGAAAGATGTGGATATCCCGGACAACCCAGACAATGTAGTTGCTGACCTTGAGCCAGACATCCTGGAGAGCGAAGTCAAGTGGGCCTTAGAAAGCCTGGCTAACAACAAGGCCAGTGGAGGTGATGGCATTCCAATTGAACTATTTAAAATCTTGAAAGATGATGCTGTTAAGGTGCTACATTCAATATGCCAGCAAGTTTGGAAAACTCAACAGTGGCCAGAGGATTGGAAAAGATCAGTCTACATCCCAATCCCAAAGAAAGGCAGTGCCAAAGAATGCTCCAACTACCGTACAATTGCACTCATTTCACACGCTAGCAAGGTTATGCTCAAAATCCTACAAGGTAGGCTTCAGCAGTATGTGGACCGAGAACTCCCAGAAGTACAAGCTGGATTCCGAAGAGGCAGAGGAACTCGAGACCAAATTGCTAACTTGCGCTGGATTATGGAGAAAGCCAGAGAGTTCCAGAAAAATATCTACTTCTGCTTCATTGACTATGCAAAAGCCTTTGACTGTGTGGACCACAGCAAACTATGGCAAGTTCTTAAAGAAATGGGAGTGCCTGACCACCTTATCCATCTCCTGAGAAACCTATATGTGGGACAGGAAGCAACAGTTAGAACTGGTCATGGAACAACTGAGTGGTTCAAAATTGGGAAAGGAGTACGGCAAGGCTGTATATTGTCCCCCAGCTTATTTAACTTATATGCAGAATACATCATGCGGAAGGCTGGACTGGAAGAAACCCAAGCCGGAATTAAGATTGCCGGAAGAAATATCAACAACCTCCGATATGCAGATGATACCACTCTGATGGCAGAAAGTGAGGAGGAATTAAAGAACCTTGTAATGAGAGTGAAAGAGGAAAGTGCAAAAAACGGTCTGAAACTCAACATCAAAAAAACTAAGATCATGGCCACTGGTCCCATCACCTCCTGGGAAATAGAAGGGGAAGATATGGAGGCAGTGTCAAATTTTATCTTCCTGGGCTCCATGATCACTGCAGATGGAGACAGCAGCCCTGAAATTAAAAGACGCCTTCTTCTTGGGAGGAAAGCGATGACAAATCTGGACAGCATCGTGAAAAGCAGAGAC